AGGAGACGCACTCGAAGACGGCAGCGGCCAGCGACATCTGCAGCGACTGACGGAACATGTCGAGACCAATAATCGCAATCACGATCACCGCAACGCTCGTCGTCCCCGCAGCTGTCTGTATCGCCTGGAACGCCAGCAACAGCAGAATCGAGCACATCGACGCATACCACGGCATCAGCCCGTCGATCAGCTTCCCGAACAGCGGCCCGCAGACGACGCCCAGGATCCCGACCAGGCCGAACAGCCCGATTGTCAGCGTCGAGTAGAAGTACGGCGCGCCGCCGAGCAGGAAGGTGAGCGTGACCCAGAAGTTGGTGAAGCACGCGCAGGACGCGAGGTTGACGAGGCATGCCTGGATGAGGATCGGCTCGGTGAATGCGAAGCGGGCCATCGAAGCGAGGATTTTGAAGTACGTCAGGTCGGTGTTTTTGGAGGGGTAGTCGGGGATTATGAGGTACCCGGCGAGGAGGACGAAGACTTGGAGGCCGATGGCAAGGTAGTAGCTAGTTCCTAGTCAGCTCTCCCGACCCATATTTCGATGAGGAGCACCTCACACGACCCGCCACGAAGTGTATTGGGCGATGATTCCAGCGATGACACGGGCAACGAGGACACCCAGGAGTAAGCCGGAATAGACGATGGACAGTGCCGATCCTCGGCGCTCGGGCGGAGCCAGATCAGCTGCAAGAGGCTTCGCTCGATCAGCAAAGGCGAGTTGCAGTGGGGCGGAAGGAAGCGTACGATCATGATCTGTGGTGTAAGCGATACCATGCCGATGAGGAACGACAGCGCCTCGAACACGACGATGCTCTTCGTCACGGCCAGGCCCACGGTCAACCCGGCGGACACGAGGGTGAGGATCAGAATGAGCTGACGTCGGCGAACGAGATCGCCCAGCGGGGAGATGAACAGGATGCCTGTGGCGTATCTGGGACAATCGTTCAGCCGCGGACGGCGAGGAAGATGGATGGCACCGGCTCACCCGGCCTGTAGCAGCGTCGGTATCTGAGAGACACGATTGTAGTCCACCCCGAACGACTCCGAGAACTGGACTGTGCAACACGATTCGGATCAGACACATTATCCGACTCTACTCGATATGAAACTCACTCAGAAGCGGCTGAGAGCAGCAACCGTCTTAGCGAAGCACTTCGAAAAAAAAGGTGGAGGACATACTTGGCAGTAGTACAGATTCGCGACTATGAACGTCGCAGCGAAGCCGAACAGGACATTCAGCACCATCGTGAACTTGAATGGTCGCTCCGGGTCATATCGCAGACGCCGTGGGATGGGGAGCACACCGCAGTCGAAGCCAGGGCCCATAGTTGAGGGGGACGACATGGGGGGAAAAGAAGGCAAGGACGGGTACCGTAAGCAGCAGAAGACTCCACGCTATTTCAATCGTCCGCGTCCAGTCCAGGGTTGGGGCCGGTGACAGTCAAAAAGCCTCGTCCACGGTCACAGTCACCGGATTCCCTCGGCGCCGGTGCTCGACGGGTGAGTGACTCACTCGTCTTTTTATAGACTGCGCATGCACGCAGCAGCTTCCGCGGGTCTTTGTTCCGGATGACTCGCCCGTCAGTCCGATCGGAGCGATAGTATATTGCATTACCCTTCCGAAAATCAGCACTGGGCCGAGATGGGTATCCGCGCGAGCGACGCTTCCCCGGCGCGGATCAACACCCACCTCGAATCACCTCGCGGCAGCAGCAGCCGACTCCGTTGTCCTGCGGGGCTCGGAGCCTGGGGAGCTGCACGTGCCAGGAAATATCCCTGCATCTGGGGGGGCTGGATGTCGCATGCGCGTCTTTTTGAGCTTGGATTGGGACCAGGGGACGCAAGAAGGCTCTATAGACCCGCCCATGCTTTCCGCGGAATGTCTCGGCATCGTTCTGTGCGTCAAATGTCATGACGACGGACGCCTGTCCGAAGATCCGGGCACGGTTTCGGAAGTCGTGCTGCGAGACTCACAAGCGGATTACGGCGATGTGGTTTTGCTCGGGAAGTCCTTTCCTGGTCTTCTGTGAGGGCTGGATCGCGTGGAATGCAGCTCGCTATGGCGAATGGTCCATACGGCGTCCCTGATCGGTTCGTTCTTCTGTTACGAGAAGCGTGGGTTAGATGTTCTGGTCTGCAGATCCGTTCTTCCTCGCGCACGCAAAACTTTCCCGGCACACTGGTGTGTTTTGGCTCTGTCCGAATCAAGACCCGTTTGAGGAACGTGGTGCTTGACTAGGCGTGTCGCTCGAGCAACTAGAGGAGTTCAGGACAACACTTTGATCGGCCCGATCCTCGGATCCGACTCGGGCCCGGAGATACGCCCGCCGACTATCCAGACGTGCATTAACCCCAATGTGTGTAACTCACACAAGCAACTGGCTGGTCGATGCAGTCGCGCTCACTGGTAAACTATTGTAATCGGACGGCCATCGGATGGTCGTGGCTGTGTAGATAAGATAAACAATAGGTCGCCCGACTGCCCACGCTCGGACCGACCAGGGCGGCCTGGTTCTATAACGCCCACACCCGTCGCATCCCCGTGGATCAGCTTGTGCTGTTGGAAGTGCTGGTATCTCCATCCCGGAAAGTCAATCTCTTCTTCCTCTCAAATACCGTTGTTCAGTTGCGACAAGAGCAGCAAGAGATAGAAAAGTCAAGAACAAGGGTATTTGTATGAGCGCCTCTGCTACATGCATGCACCTTCCAGGCCACCAGAGTACTCAACGTACTGTTATGAGTGCATCACCGCCTGAGGCACCTCAAAGCTCCGACCATATCCGTTTTCATTACCGAAACCGATCAAAATCATTTCCGGGTCAGTTTAATTTAAATCACCAAGGGGTGCAAACAGAAGAATATTGAATGAATCAAACAGAAAAACACTTTTTTTTGTCAGACCGACTTTTTCGAGTTGCATATCATGCCTAATCGCAATATCTTCATCAGGCTCACATATTCATTTGGATTAGTTCCGATGATGTTAAAACTCAGTCTGATTGATCCTGAGTTTCAAACCGGATGATGGCCGGGGGAAGCTTCAGCATGTGATTCCGCCCCCATCACAGTGTCAATCCGGCCATCAAAGTGCGATTTCGAGGTCTCGAAAGCTGTATCCGCACCTTTTTGACATCTGCCGAAACGAGAAGTGTCTTTGTCGTAGCTCGGATGGTTTACCGTGGCCTGTGGAAAAGTCACTGGTTGACTCAGCGTAGAGAACCAGGATTCGTCAGCGGCATTGTGTACGCGTAAGCCAGCCGCCTGTTAATCTTAGCCCAATCTGTGCTCGACTACATCGATGGTTATCTGACGTCACTCTTCAGTCGAGCGTAGACCGACGTATAAGAGGGGAGGGGAATCCAAACTGTCCTTTCACTCCCATACTCAGCACCTCCTCACCTCACGCTCCCATAAAATGTCTTTCTGGACCCCCCCTCCCCAGCCAGCCACCAAGCTTGGTGTTTATCGCACGCTGTCGGCCAAAGCGGGCGTGCATGTCTCACCCCTGCAGCTCGGTGCGATGAGCATCGGCGACAAGTGGGAGAGCCTCGGTATGGGATCCATGAACAAGGAGTCCAGCTTCAAGCTGCTCGACGCGTACTTTGACGCGGGCGGGAACTTCATCGACACTGCGAATGCTTAGTGCGTTGATCTGGTGGTGCATATATGCGCGTAGCATCTGACGCGTCATGCAGCCAGGATGAGACCTCCGAAATGTTCATCGGCGAGTGGGCGGAGAAGCGCGACATCCGCGACCAGCTGGTCATCGCTACCAAGGTACGCAAGCGCACATCTGAGTCTTTCCGGCGATGAAATCGATTCCGTCCTCAGTACACCACCTGCCTGAAGCGGCGGCAGGACAACTACGTCCAGAAGGTCAACTACATGGGAAACAACATCAAGTCTATGCACATCAGCGTGGAAGCCAGCCTCAAGAAGCTGCGCACGAGCTACATCGACATCCTCTATGTGCACTGGTGGGACTGGGACACCAGCGTCGAGGAGGTCATGGACGGGCTGCACAACCTCGTCGTGCAGGGCAAGGTCCTCTACCTCGGCGTCTCGGACACGCCTGCCTGGATCGTCGCGCAGGCGAACCAGTACGCACGCGACCACGGCAAGTCGCCGTTCGTCATCTACCAGGGCGCGTGGAACGTCATGGCGCGCTCGTTTGAGCGCGAGATCATCCCCATGGCTCGCGCATATGGTACGCGCCACTCGCTCCCTTTTCAACCCTGAGCTTCGTGTGCTTACCGCTGTGCAAGGGATGGCTCTCGCTCCATGGAACGTGCTGGCTGCAGGCAAGCTGCGCACTGACGCCGAGGAAGAGGCGCGCCGCGCTTCTGGTGAGAAGGGTCGTATGATGTTCGGACCCAACTGGGAGCGGAATGCGGACGAAAAGAAGATGTGCGCTGCTCTGGAGAAGGTCGCTGGTGAACTCGGAGCGAAGCACATCACATCTGGTGCGCTCCCCATTCAGCGCCCCCGTGCTCGACAGTTTTCTGACGCCGTCTCCAGTCGCCATCGCCTACTTGATGCAAAAGCTCCCCTACGTCTTCCCCATCATCGGTGGCCGTAAAGTCGAGCACCTCATGGCCAACATCGAGTCGCTCGACCTGGTCTTGACCCCGGAACAGATCACCTATCTCGAGAGCATCCTGCCGTTCGACCCTGGCTTCCCCAGCACCATGATCGTACGTAACCCCAGGGTTTGATTTCGGCATGCCTGTGTTGACATGCTTTTCTCAGGGCAATGGACTGCAACACAGCAATCTCATGACCTCCGTCACCCATTTCGATCGCTTGCCTGTGCCTGAGGCCATCCGTCACGGGAAGTAGTAGATCATGTCCGCCACCATTAGCAGAAAACTGAATGTATTCTCATCCAAAGAATGTCAAACCCTGCCATGATCTCACCGACTTTTTCTAAGTGAACTGTGTGGTCTATCCATCACGTTCTTTTGTGGAGCCTCAGTGGCACTCGGGTCCAGCTTGCTGCCTTTGCCATCATTCGAGGGGACAAGCATTCGACTAATTGCAAAAGACAACGCCGTCGCTGGTCTCCAGGAGACCGGCTGAGCACTTATACGCCAAAGAACCTAATACTCTGAGGACTCTCCCATTTGCGCATTCCCAGGAATCATCCTATCGCACTGCGGGCCGAATTGGAGGCTAGCAGTCGAAAAGGCACAATCGAGCACTGCTAGGCACTTCAAATCAGGAAGTAACGCGTTCAAGCGGCTCTAGCAAGCCAGGTTGACTGCGTCTACAATATCGCATTGATCGACGGACGTAATCTTCGCCTCATCTGCTGAGCGGTCCCACCTAAATCCCCCATAGGCTCGGATGCGTCTCACCTGTACTTGGTCCTACTGCGGTAAAAATCCGCAAAGAAATACACGTCAAGCGGATTCTCTGAGGGAATCGCTTTTATGGGGACCCGCCTCATCCGCCTCCGCCTCCCTCACGGTACTTTCACCACTTTTCTTTTCATCGTCACCAACGGGAGGCTTGACCCTCTTGACCGCCCATCCCCCTTCGTAGCCGAACCACGTGAAGCGCGCACAGTGCGGACCGCGGACGAGCAGGATGATCAGGATCCAGCCGTAAAAGCCCATGTTGAGGGCAGCGGCTGCGCGCCAGCCGTATGTGGTGTAGACCTTGGTGCCCGCGGCAGTGCCCATGAGTTGCCCGATGAACAGCTGGTTGGAAAGTCAGACTGGACGCCAGATGGCGATGAAGATCAGCGCGCACCGACAGCACGAACAGGGCGTTCAACCTCGCTCTCGCAGCCGTCGAGATTCTGACAGAAACACGTGAGATCGTGCATGAATCTTGGCGAAAAGGAGACGCACTCGAAGACGGCAGCGGCCAACGACATTTGCAGAGACTGGCGGAACATGTCAAGACCAATGATAGCCACGACGACCACCGCCACACTCATCGTCCCCGCAGCTGTCTGTATTGCCTGGAACGACAACAACAGAACAATCGAGCACATCGACGCATACCAAGGCACCAGCCCGTCGATCAGCCTCCCAAACAGCGGCCCGCACGCAACGCTCAGGATACCGATGAGGCCGAACAGCCCGATCGCGAGCGTCGAGTAGAAGTACGGCGCGCCGCCGAGCAGGAAGGTGAGCGTGACCCAGAAGTTGGTGAAGCACGCGCAGGACGCGAGGTTGACGAGGCATGCCTGGACGAGGATCGGCTCGGTGAACGCGAAGCGGGCCATGGAGGAGAGAGTTTTGAAGTACGTAAGATCAGTATTTTTGGAGGGGTAGTCGGGGATGATGAGGTATCCGGCAAGGAGGACGAAAACTTGGACGCCGATGGCGAGGTAGTACCTGGTACAGGATCAGTACATGCTCGGAATACATAGAAATATGACTACGCACACCACCCGCCACGAAGTGTATTGGCCAATAATTCCGGCAATGACCCGTGCGACGAGGATCCCAAAAAGCAAGCCGGAATAGACGATAGACAGCGCCGACGCCCGTCGTTCTGGCGGAGCCAAATCAGCCGCGAGAGGCTGGACATCGTCAGCAACGCGAGTCACGGGGGCAGCACACCGCCCACAATCATGATCTGCGGCGTGACCGAGACCACGCCGATGAGGAACGACAGCGCCTCGAACACGGCGATGTTGTTCGTCACGGCTAGCCCCACGGTGAGACTCGAGGAGAGGACGGCGAGCGTCAGGATCAGCTGGCGCCGGCGGACGAGATCGCCAAGGGGCGAGATGAATATGATGCCTGTCGCATATCTGGGAGAGTATCAGCAGCAAAAATTGAGAGCGATGGGGTCGACTCTCCCAGCCTGAAGTAGGGTCGGGACTTGAGAAACGCGATCGTAGTTTACCCCAAACGACTCGGAGAATTGGACTGTAGGAGGAAATCCACGTCAGACGAATCAACCTGGCCTTTCCAAGAACTTACTGAGCAGAGGCTAAAGGTAAAGAGCTCAGCAACGCACGCCACAGATTAGCTTACCAACTCACCTGACAGTAGTACAAATTCGCGACGATGAACGTCGCGGCGAAGCCAAACAGGACGTTCAGCAGCGTCGTGAAAACGAACGGCCGTGCCGGGTCGTATCGCAGACGCCGCGGGATGGGGACTAGCCCCCAGTCGACGCGGGGTCCCCCAGATGACGGTGTTGTCATCGACGTGAGAGGAAGACAGCGGCATTCTTAGTCAGCGGGACTAGGCGGGACTCCACGGCTCACTGAAGACCCGGTCCGCGTCGCCCGGCAAGATAGGGGCGGAACGGGACTGCTTGCATCTCCCTCTGTTGCGAGGCAGAGCGGAGGGGTTTCTCGATTCTCCGTGTCCATCTTTTTTGTCATTCACGCTCAAAGGTCGAGAGCTCAGAATGACGTCATCGTCTCCGATCGCCACGGGGAAAGTCACGCGGAACAGTCAACACGGATATATGTTCATTTTAGCAGCTTAGATCTTCGCTTGGGCGCAAAAGCACCGCGGTGGTCAGAAGTGTCGCTGTGAACAGATTGTCACCGATCATGGAAACTTTACACAAGCTCGGCGGGAAAGCGTCCCCGTGCCCGAAGAACACCGAAGCAATTTACATCCACACCAGGTTGAAACAAAGAACGCTGGAGACACGATAATCGTCTATAATCGTTCAACGTGGGGACCCGATGGTTCGAATTCCCGAAATCCGCCATCCGCCGAGAAAAGAGTCACAACCCGATTCCAGGTCGGAGCTTGACGTAAAAGGTCGAAACTCAAGATGAAATTTTGAGGCATTTTTTTGCTGCGCTACATACGGAGTGGGGGTATAGTCGTCGTGAATCTACGTAAAGAGAATAACTCAAGTCCTTGGCGCGTATGTCGCCTCGCTCAGGGTAAAGCAGCTCTAGTCTCGCCTGCTCCCAAGTGCCCAGTCCTCCGGGTTGGTCAACACATCCCGCAGGAACGGATCTTCAAAGTCCATTCCCCCAAGTCAAACACCTGCGGGCCTCCTCCGCCTCCTCCTCCGGGCACGTGCCCAGGGACATCCTCGACCTGAAACGAGCTCGGCGCAGCGCCATATCCCGCACCGCCCCCACCGTGGCTGCCCACGTGACTCTGGCTCTGGGCCTGTGCAGCGGAGGCGGCGCGTTTGCGGAGGTACTCCTGCGCATGCAGGATCTGGATATCGTATGCGTGCGGGTTTGGACTCGGGCGGAGCAGCCCGGGCTGCCCATGCGCATGCTGTCCGTACATTGCCGGCATCGTCCGGTGCGTCGAGTGCCGGGACGCGGATCGTCCGCGGGCCGGTGCGGGGTAGTGCGGGAAGTCCTGCTGCATGGGCGTCTCGGAGGGCAGCGCGGCCGCCACCGAGGACGACGACGACGCGGTGTTTTGTTGGGGAATATATTGTTCTTCTGCGCCGTCTTGGGTCGCGACGTACTCGCAGGCCAGCTGGCGTTTGACGCATCGTGCGCAAGGCGTCACGGGCGGGATCTCGTTTGTCACGCACTGTGAGACCGTCAGGACAGAATCCGAGAGGTTTGTGGGCGCGCACATACCTTGACACGGCGGCGCCTGCATTCGGTGCACGCAATCATACTCCGCGGCTTTGAGCGTGTTCCCTCGGGGCTAGACATTCTTGGAGGCAGAGGACGGGATAGCGAGTGGAATGGATGGCGTGGCGGACGTACTTATGCTGCTGCCCATAATATGATATGCTGGCTAGGTTTTGACGCGTACGGTGTTGATTCCCCGGTGTTGCGAATGCGGGTTGGATTGACCGTGGGCTTTGATGTGCAAGTTGCCCGGATTTGCATGACACGGCAACGCAGATCGTTGATCGCGTGTTCATCTAGTCCGCCTCCAGCCCCCATCTGCAGCTGAAACCCACATCCCACAGCGGTCACTCCGATCCGTGCCCCGGCTGGCCTTCGTTCGCCGCGCAGGTCAAGCCGAATTTCCGTGATTTCCGTCGACTAGAGCGCTGACTGTCCACTTCCTACGCCGGGCATGGGCTCGAAGAGAAACCAGGATGACTCCTCAGAGAGACATCGAACGTGATGATCTAGTAGAGTCCGTGCACAGCGCATCTGAACGTCAGAGTCGCAGAGGCTTCGGACAACAACCCGTGAAAACTTCTTCCAGTGCTTCTCAGTTCCCGCGGATCGAGTCATGTGACTTATTCCCATGCTTGTCTCGTATGACCTCATCTGACTCGCGTTTCTCCTCGAAGACTCAGAATTTAGAAACTCGGGACTGTGTTTCCAGCGCGACTGCAATCCAACTGGCCAAAATCGGTTCTATTATCCCGTGCCGCGATGACCGGCAGCTGAGAGGCACAGCATCTGCCGTCCTGACGCATACCATCCGACGAATGCAGAATCTAAAGTCGATGATGGGAGTACTCACTCAATGGGTATGTCTGGACTGCACTTACACCGCCATTATCTATCTAAGTCGATTTGCGACCGTGCATGCAGTGCTCTCCCGCTCATTTGGCGCCACGTCAGTCGATCCCGATTCTTCGAAACGCGGCTGGCATGGGAGTGCCGATTGGGTACACGACGCTTAATATGAGTGGTCGAATCAGTCCGGATCTCTCTCCATCCTATCGCGGTTCTCTGCGCAGGATACTTCTTCGCTGTCTGTGCATGGATGGGCATCGGGCGCGGGGAACATGACTGTATCAGTCGCAGAACACCACGCTCGATGGCTCAGCCTCATTCGACACGATTTTCGCTGCGTGGGGCGTCGACTTCTTCATGAGCAGAGCCACCAGGAAGGCCCCGGCTGTGCAGCTGATCTTGCACCGCACGGAATGGAGACAGGCGGGAGTGCGGTGGAGTGCGTCGAGGTGAAACGGTGCGCAGCTCTGCTCTCCTTTCCTCTGTCACTCATCTTACATCCTCCGCTCCCTGACCGCAGGCCTCCCCCGGGTTCCCGGCACACAAATACGAACCACGCCTTATAGACATCATCGCGCGGCCCAGCAAGCACTGATTGCTCGGCCCTGTGCCTATCACCCACGCTCCTCCGGCTCGGCTGGTCACCCGGATGCATGAGAGCTGGCTGGTTGTCGTCGCGGTCGAAGCAAGTGGGGCGGATTTGCTCGATGGCGTGCGCAGACACACGAGGGGGTTCTGTTTGTCAAGGATGAGGCGGAGGCGGCTGTAATCTGTGCACGGCTGGTGTATGATCATGCAGGCTCTGTCTGCTCCATCACATCCCGACACCCACCGTTTCGTAGCCTGACGCCCGACTACCGCAACATCATCTCGTTCTCCATTGATGTCTCAAGAGCTGCCACTTCTCAGATCCGCTGCAGTGAACTGCTTGTGTTCTGCAAGCAATTCTGATCGGTTCCAATACTAAGGTCATTGGCGACATGCAGCAGCAGCAGGTCCTCCAAATCGCTGTATCATTGTGCGACATCCAATGGCCTCACTCCAAAGGCTGCCTAGGCCTACCCTTCTCAGGCTGCCGCATCCTTCACTCTCATCCATCGTCCGGTATCGCCCGAATCGGCGGGAGAACGCCGTGATTCCCGGATACTCTTTCTCGCGGAGTGCATAGCTGAAGCGCGTCGTGTGCACGGTCCGGAGGGCCGGGGTCGAGACGCTCTGGCCTTCTAGAGAGTGTTGCAAGTAGATTACCAGCGCGAGTTCTAGCAGTGTGCTCTGTTCACCTCAATGCAGGTGTTGGCGCGGAGCGAGTCGGCGGAAATGAGCAGGGCTTCGGAGCACTACCGGCAAACAGCCGAGAACTTGGACAACGGGGACGTCGTGTCCAGATTCAGATACATAGAGCGATCGTCATGGATGCGGGTCGATCCCAGTTAACAACTGACTAATCGCTTGCCTCGATTCTCCATCTCGACCGCACTTGATTGCGGTCCTCTGCGAGCCTGCGGGGATCCCGTCTAGCTCGTCCGAGAGCTTCTGTCCTCTTAGCCGCATCCTCATTGGCTCTGTTGGAGACGGAGTTTCCACGCGGCCGCTTGTGACGTTCAGCCCTCCTTGTATACTCAATGTACGCGCAGTGCCGCTGACCCGGACTATCGCCCGCCTAGGTACTGGGGCTTAAGGACATCCGAGATCTGGAAACTTTACTTCGGAACTTCCTTCTCCGTCCGTTTGCCACCCAGTCGTGGCGTTTGCCTGAAGAGTTGATGGTAACGTGTGTTAGGGAGCGAGGGAGATGATGCATAGCCATCCTGAATTGCAGGCCTTGTCAATACTTTGCGCTAGTACATGGACACAGACTGGGAGAAAAGCGACGACGACGACAGCGCAGAGCAGCACACTTAGGTACCAGACGCATATATCGCAACTGAGGTAGATGGTCAAGTGCAGTAGGATCCTCCACGGACTACTTCGGCGGTGCCAGAAGGACGCCCTGGCGGACAATCGACGCACAGGGCGGCAGAGTGAAAGTACCCGCCGAAGTCCTCTATCGGAACCTAACTGGCCCGATACTGCTCCATTCTAGACATTCCGAAGCTTGACCCGACAGGGATCGACACGGCAGGCAGCGAAGGCCGCATGGTGACCATATTATGCGATTGGGGGAGCGCAGCATGAGGAAACGCGTCGGCAGCTGCGAAGGCAAGGGCCACGGCGACGTCACCCCGCTGAGGTACAGTTGCACGCGACCGTCAGGCAGGCGGCGTAGCATGTCCGCGAGGAATGCTCAGTATCCGGAGCAGAGGCAGCACCGTGACGTCGGCCAACAACGGGAAAACTCGGGTGGGAATCGATGCGGAGGTGTCCTCTGCTCTCCATGTCGAAGCTGACATCGGGTGAAGATAGTTCCTGGAGACGTAGAGCGTTAGCACGCAGAAGTAGCAACAGAGGTGGGGGCATACATTTCGGCTTGACTGACGACTTAAAGAGGTTACGGATGGAAGGCAAAGAATTGACGTCTTCAAGAATGAAAGACTTGAAAGTGCCTTCTGTCGATCTCATTTGGTGGTCAGCTCTACAACAATCAGCGCAGTGGAAGGGTATCCCGCAAGACACAGCCGGATCCCCTCTATTCAGATGGGAGAGAACAGATGAATTTGGCGGTATAACTAGTGAGCGCTAGTATAAGGAGGAATATCAATGCAGCTGGTTGCATGTGTTAGAGTGAGAAGAAAGCCGCAACGACGCAGCCACCGTGATGAAATATCAGATCATGATCTGTGATTCTTTGAGTCTGCTCATGTTTCTAATTGCATCTGAGCACCACAGAACCCCGCATGATGCACTTGAAGGTTAGCCCCAAGATTGGCTGATGCTTCCCATATTTTTCAACACGTTTCAAGCCCGAGTACGGCTTTTTTGTCTAACCGATACATAGCAATTGATTTTTTGTCCACACACAAGTCAGAACCTGAAACTTTACCTTTAGCGGAATTTTCAAGAAAATAAATATGCCCAGGCGATTCCACTGGAGTGACGGAGAAAATGAGGATGGGGTTAATCACGCAAATGGGCAATGAAAACAAAAATGAAATAAAATCTGGCACGCGCAGCGTACTAAACTGGAGTTGCAAGAGCGATATCAGCAATGAGAATCAGGGCCACTGCTCAACCGGGTTACATTTTGTCCAACCCTAGACCTAGTTCCAGCGCTATTGTTCAACAGTTTTGGTCCAACACCCTGTTACGTGATGTATCTAATGTCCACTAAACATGTCCGACATAGCAGTTAACATTTCAAAGCACTCGTTGGGGCCTTGACACAATGTCCAGAAAATAACTGATGCCCTTGGATCACATTCGATTGTTGATCCTCTTTCGGTTCATGTCTTCAGCTATTACACAAAGATGTCATTAACTCGACTGCGTCATTTTTGACGCGAAATTAAAGTAACATGGGAGCAGATTTATCATCATGAATGGGAACCTTGAAATCTGCACGCCGACTCCTAAAGCGACTACTGGACGTTTCAACTTTCCAGATTTCGCGATATGTCGTGCTGTTTGATAGGACGTGCACCGCTGTTGATTCGTTTTCTCACGCTCACGGTTTCAGCAAATTCGAGTTCATGAAGTCTGTAGATGTGGTGATGAACAAAAACACTCGAACTACAGACTGGTCATTACGAAGTCTAAGCTCTCTCTTATTGATCAACACGCATCTGCTCCTAGTCGAAGGGATCTTGAGTGTAACATGTAATATCGTCAGTCGCTCGGTGCGGGGCGGAGAGTACGTTCTTTATATAGGAAATTGATCATCTTGTGAATAACTTGCGATGAGACAGACGTGAAACGAGTCTTACTGAATCGTCCTTGCTTGAGGAGCGTGCGTCGTGTCTTGGTTTTCAAGACAGTGTATGATTCTTGAAATAGCTTGCAACAATTGTGTAGCCCTTGAGATCAGATCTGTGGATGCTTTGGTGGCATGGTTTAGCAAGTCTGGAGAAAATTTTCTAGACTCTTGGACTCTTTCATTTTTCTGTGCAGGGAGAATCCATTTCCCTCCCCCCCTCACAGCTGGAATGGACAACAAGATGATACAGAAAGTCGAATGATTCATTTGAATTCAGGACAGGTAGATTACCGAAGCAACCGAAGCTCTGATCTTGTCTAAATGATACTGCAGGAAACATGCATATAACTACGTACGGCTCTATGCTCTCACGTGGCGCTTCCGTCTGGGCAACTGATTCATTGACAAATTGTGAAACTAATATGAAATCAAGACGATCTGCGCCAAGAAATCACCGTCCACGTTTCACTCCCTTTCCAGCACAACGACGGAAGTTCAATTTCCTGTCCTGTTCTTCACAACTTGCCGTTTTATACGACCGCTATCTTGGACTGACCCTCTCAAATTCAGCAAATCCGAGCAGTCCTCGGGAGTCTGCCAGGAAAAATCACTTTGTTCCACTCCCGCAGTGATGACGACGACCGATCAGGGACTTTGATGTGGTGATGTCCTGGCAGTCTGCTTCCCGATAGTGTTTGAGGGTCATCCACGGACCACAACACTCACATCGCTATAAGTATTGCTGCCCCTCGATGCCGATCCGCATTCTGTTTCTCTCCTCTCGTGTGTCGACCACACAGAGCCTTTCTTTTCTCCTTCTCTCGTCGCTTTCCTTTCCTTTCCTTCGTCGCCCTTTTTCACTTTCGCACTTATGCGTTTCTCGTTGGCGATATCAGCTGTGCTGCTCTCCGTGCTGTGTGCTCAAGGGACTCCTCTCTCGGCGGATTTGGAGAGCCGGCACAACGCGGAAGTCGAAGCTCGCGTGGGCCTCAAGTTCCACATCCTCGTCGGCACACCGCCCGCGCAGCTCACCGGCGCGACGGACGACGACATGTGCACGCCGGAGCAGGCTGCGGCTATCGAGCGCTCCATCGTCGACGCCAAGTCCGCGTCTGCGGTCGCGCGGAAGATCCTTGGGGTACCGAAGATGGAGAAGAGCAACGGGTTTTTCTGGATGTTTGGTGCGTGTCTCGTGCCAAAGGTCATCGCAGTGAAGCTGATAGATACATGTGTGTCCGTGCGTGTTCTCTCATCGCAGGCGGCGCGGCTGTCGCACCGAGTGAAGTCTCCCGCCACTTCTCGTTCGTGCAGAAACTCGGCACGCCGGACCATATCGCGTCGACGGTGCCCTTCGAGAACAGCCCGAACGACCTCATCTTCACCTGCATCCCGGCGGGGACGAAGAAGGCCGCTGAGGTGCTCGCGACCACCGTGAACAGTGGCCGCAAGACGAAGAACACGCCCGTGACGCCCGTGCTCAACCTCATCCGGATCTCGCCCATTCACTTCCTGGTCCGTTCGACCCAGGGCCGCTCGCGAGAGATTCTGACTTGTCATGCAGAACACGCGGACGATGGCGCAGGCTGCATCGGCGATGAACCCTGGCGGCGTTTTCACCGTGAAGAACGGGCTGCAGACCGACCAGGGCGTACAGGTGCCCCCGCTCGCGTTCACCATCATCCACGAGGTGCAGCACTCGAACGTGCTCATGGACAATGCCGAGCAGGACCACCTCGTCGATCAGAAGATCGGACCCAAACGCGCGTATGGCTTCCAGCAGGTGCAGAACTTGGACGCGCATCTCAAGCATCTCAACCCGCAGAACTACGCGTTCTTCGCTCTCTTGGTGCGTCCAACGCTCTCTGGCCCATTTCCCGTGACTGATGCTCCGATCTTGCAGGCGGAATCGAACCCCGAGTTCTTCAAGCCCGACTGCTTCATTAGCGAGCAGCTCCCGATCCGGGACTTTGCTGCTGAGAAGCGCGCCAAGTCGGTGGTCAAAACGAAGGCGAAGCCTGTCGCGCGGCCGCCTTCCAAGCCTGCGGCCAAACCTGTCCCAAAGCCCGTTGCGAAGCCCGTTGCGAAACCCGTCGCTAAGCCTGTCGCTAAGCCTGTGGTCAAGCCTGCTGTGAAGCCTGTAGCCAAACCCGTCACGAAGCCCGCCGTCAAACCCGTTACGAAGCCCGCTGCCAAACCTGTTGCGAAACCTGCCGCTAAGCCCATCGCGAAACCAGCAGCAAAGCCGGTGGTCAAGCCTGCCGCGAAACCTGTCGTTAAGCCCGCTGCGAAACCTGCGGCAAAGCAACCTGTAACAGCCAAACCCGTCGCAAAGCCTGCGGCCAAGCCTGGTGCTAAGCCTCCAGCCAAGCCAGTCGCAAAGCCAGCCGCAAAGCCCGCAGCGAAACCGACGACGAAACCGGTCCCTGGCAAACCAGTCGCGAAGAAACCTGCCGCCGGTGAGCGCTCTCCCTCCCTCCCACATCCTGTTTTCTGTGCCTGTGCCCTGACCCCCGCGAAGTGAAACCGACCCCCGCGAAGAAGCCCGCACCGCCCACCCAGTCGAAAGCTGCGACCAAGTCCGCTCCGGCTTCGGCGAAACCGAGCGCAAGCGCGAAAGCGTCTACGGCGTGCTCTGCGACGGCCGCGGTGTGCAAGGCGTGTGCGAAGATCGTGAAGGGCATTCCGGGTGATGTGCAGCTGGCGAACTTTGACGACGGGACTGAGTAGGTGGCTGCAGCACGTTGTTTGTGTGTACATGATGGAGTGGAGCAACACAGCTGTGTTGGAGAGGTGGACTGACTTGAGTGAAACTGAGGACTGAACCTGCGACTTGAGGACTGAAGAACGAAAACTTCAGCTTTTCATCGGTATCCGCAAAAGACGTGCAGTTTGGGCTTGGGCCATTCTTTCAAGTATGAAGGATTACATTCTAACGATAACCGGAATGGAACCAGACGCATTCAACGTGATCTGGAAGCGCACAGTATGTAATGCACTAGACATCCTCCTCACCAACTGCCCGAAACATGAGCCCTGTCCGAATACATGACCGCGACGGACAGACACACCTATACGACTCGCCGTGGAAGAAGAGGTCCTTACACAGGCACCCCAGACCATCGACAATCTCGAGCTGCGCGTCGGCAACCGCATTGCGGAGGTCGTACATGAATGTCTCTGGGCCACAGCCTATAGCTCATCTCAGCAGCGGACAGAAGCAGAGGCGAGAGACTGACCGATCATAGCGACGGATGTCGCGCTGTGCTTGGCCTCGTTGACGATAGCGGACAGGCTGGGCCGGCCATATGCGATCACGCCCCGTGCGAGGCTGCTCGCATCGTCGGGATCCTGCTTGATCTTCTCCGCGCCGGAGCAGGTGAAGAAGATGCGGACGTTGATCGCTATACACTCGGGCGCGTCCTTGAGTGCAGTGTCGATGAATGCCTGCATCCACTCATAGGCGTCTGCAGCGCGGTCAGTCCGGGTGAACACACAGACACAAACGCACGCGCACCCTCGTCTCGCACGGCAATCACCAGCTCGACCCGCCGACAGATCCCAGCGCACGGCGCAGCCAGATCCGCGAGCACGGGCAGCACAAACGTCGCGCCGGTCCCGCCGGCGCACAGAAACACGGCCTCGTGCGCACGGACGGGGAATCGCACGCCGCCGTACGGCCCGTCGAACAGCACCCGGGTCGACCAGGGCGCGGCGTCGGCAGCCCGCCGTGCCAGCGCGCGGGTGATCCCACTGCGCACGGCCATGATCATGACCGCGTCCTTGTCCTTGTCCTGCGGGAGCGATACGATCGTGAACGGGTGCGTCGTGAGCGCATGCATCCCGAGCGACAGCACGCGCACGAACGCATGCTGCCCCGGCGCCCAGCGGATCTTGTCGCCAACGCCGTGGATGGTCAGCTTCACGAGCCCTGGGCCGACGGATTCGACTGTCGCGGGGAGCCCCAGGCGGGAGACGAGTAGGGTGCGGCCCTCGCGGTAGAACCAGGAGGTGAAGTAGAGTGCGCCGGTGGCGATGAAGTAGTCCCTGCAGAGGACGATGAGATGGGGGAAACGGGAAGCGGAAGGACCACGCACCAGGAAGAGAGCGTGAAGTCGATGTGCACGAGCATGGCGGCCATGAATAAGCCTGACGCGCTGCAAGGTTGTCAGAGAGAAGTGGGGTCAGCAGATGGCGGACTTGCATGAAGTGGAGTCTAGCCGCTCGTCAGTCCGCGTCTCAGAGATAATCCACAAAACACACTCACTTCTTGAAGATCTCGTAGTACCTGTTCCTGAAGACGCTCCACGATCCAAGGACGAGAAACGTCTGGTACTGATTTCAGCGGGGTTCGAAGGCTACCGAGGTACCGCGCGCACCTGGGGAACCAGTGCGACCGTCCCTGTCCAGAAGAACTCGGACGAGTACCACTGGGACGACAGCGTGCCCATCGCGCGGTCATGCATGATGAACAAACACGTATGCACCAGCGCAGTAACATCTAGCCACGACGCGTCAGCCGCGCAGCGCGCGTACAACTAGCCAAGCACGCACACATCAGGACGGCCGACCAGCGGTGGAACACCTGCAGCTTCTCGTGCGACGTGCCGGTGACGAGCGTGACCCAGTTCGCCTTGGCCGCGAACGCGATCATGAACGGCATGATCCCGAGCGCCATCCATCCCGTCCGCGTCGCGAGCGGCGGGCTGTGGCCCATCGCGGGGTTCGGCCAGATGTACGGCCGCGCGGAGAGCATCAGGACTGCGGCGGTCGGTTGGCGTCAGCATGGGACGGGGGCGGAGGGCGCGCGGACGCACCGAAGACGAAAACGATCATCCCCGCCACGCCCACGAGGCTGCCCAGCGCCGGTGCGTAGTACCCCAGAGGTGCCACGCGGAATTGGCGCGCGGAGAAGTATCGCAGGGCAGCGGCAATCCGGTCTGTAAGCGTGAGGCGCTGGGATCTGGAGCGCGTGTCAATCAACTGGGTCTGCCCAAGGCTAGGAGAGGTGGGCAGACAAACCTCTTTTGCTGCCTCACTCGGAGCCACGCGGTGACGCGCAGGAGAAACACGGCGAAGATGGCGGCGCAGAAGAAAGCGACCGTCGCAAGGCCGTAGTCCCAGTCCGCCGTGTACCACTGCGCGCGAAACAATCAGTGCGAGAAACAACGGGAGAAGAACCGGATGGACATTGTGCCACCGCATCTTGATGAGCGCGATCTGATCAGCGGACATCGCAGCCCAATCGTAGCCCGAAGCATCGCGCGACGAGTGCAAGACGCCAAAGACATCATCCCAAGGCAAGCCCATATCTGCTGCTGCTGAGGGTACGAGGAGAGGAGAGTAACCCAACGCAAAGTCGAGATCGATTGTATATTTCATCGCCGCGATTTAAACAAGTAATCCAACACACATCAGCCAGATATCACCAGGAGATACCGCACGATTCCGAGCACGACGGGACCCCCGATCGCAGACCCAGACCATCTTGAGCCGGCAAATTTCATCACTCTGCACCCCCAAAAAGCCTAAGCGCAACGCCAAGCGCCATGCCCAGCCCCGTGCCTGCAACGAGCTCCACCCGATCATCGCATACGTCGCCACCAGCGGGAGAAGCACGCAGGAGAGCACATGGACTGCGACGCACGGGGGAGCGAGCGAGCCCCATCGAGCACGGTGAAACGAGAACCGCAACAGTGGGCGGTGGCAGATCAGAGATGGCCGCCGGCGAGCAGGGGATGGATAGGGGAGTGGTGATAGGGAGGGTCCGGGTGAACGGGTGAGGTGAGCTGGGGTGACGATGATACAGAGGCGAGCCTGTCTCGTGTTGCTGGCGAGGCGAACCGGTTTGTGGGCTTGCTGAGGGTGAAGCGGTAGTGGTCCGCAGTGTAATCTTGCGGGCGGAAGGTTGGGAGGATTCCCTTGGGTGCATACACACTTGACACAGGGTACAGGAACGTCGCGTTGAGGTGTTGAGGGATGATTATCGGGAAGGAGATGACTGCATAGAAGGGGACCCGGGGAGTTGTGGGAGCATGCTAGGAAGGTCGGAGGACAGTTTGAAGTGAGGGAAAAGAGGGCGAGCGTCTGGGGAGGGAGGATGGAGACAGCAAGGGACGGAAACCGGGCAGCGGAAACGTCTCAAGCACTTATATAGGCGTGACGGGTTGGTTACGCGAGCAAGATGATGAGATCTTTTCGCCGGCCGCAATTCTGCGATTGGCTCACCCGCTCGGGACTAATCGGCCGTGACGGGATCAGAACGGGTGAGTTGTGACATGACGCAGATTTGTCGTGTGACATTCAACCTGGTTCATCTTTTGTTACTCTTGGGACGAGCCGCTCTTTTCTCGGGGGGAATACAGATCCAAATTAGCGGAGAGACTCGTGTCAGTTCCGACTCTTAAATGCGACAATCTCCCTCTGCGCTCGAACATTGGCGAATTCCCAATCGCTAGTTACCCCAGCTCGCAGTCCGTTTTCACTCTCCGCTCTATTCTCCGCCGACCATGAATATGATGAACATGACGAGCTCTGCGCCCACGACCAACGCGACCTCATCTGCGATGCCGGACCACAGCATGCCGGACATGTCGCTGATGATGAAGGCCTACCTGCACTTCACCCCCGGCGACCTCGTCCTCTTCAAATCCATCGCCCCGCGCTCGGGGGGCGAGATATTCGCGGCCTGCCTCATCTTCTTCCTCCTCGCCGTCGGCGAGCGCTACCTCCGCGCGCTGCACGCCGAGTTCCGCACCCGCTGTGTCGCACGGTCCGTCCTTCCCGTCCCGACTTCGAGTGTCTATGCTTACTCAAGAATGCCGTCTAGGACCCGCCGCCTCATGGCACGAATGTCCGCGGAGGATGGGAAGCCGCTCACCGCGGACGCAGCCGACACGCACGCGATTCCACCCGTGCCGCGCCGTGCACCGCGCACGCCGTTCATCCTCACGCAGGAGCTCGCGCGCGGGGCGCTCGCGGGTGTGCAGAGCACGGTCCACTACGCGCTAATGCTCGTTGCCATGTATGTTGTCCGCCCGCCCCTTGCGCCGACCGACGCTGACTGCGGCAGGACGTTCAATGTTGCGTACATCGCGAGCATCGTTATTGGGACGGTCGTCGGGGAGATGGCATTTGGGCGCTTGGGCCATTGAACTCTGGGGTCGAGTATCGAATTTGTTTTCACTGGAATGACGATCGCTTTGCATCAAGTCTCCGGAGTCCCCTCCCTGTTCACATATCTTGACTGTGGAGACGTATGACGTAGGAGGCTCAGTGAGCGAGCTGAATTGGGTCCCAGGCCCCAGGGAGAGTGCAGAAAGCGGGAATCACGGCGTTGGTGCAGTCACCGTGTCGTCCGAGAGACGCTCCAGCACTTGTTTAATTGCGAGGCGGCGAAAGACACACACTGGAATATTCCCACAGGAGAAACCCCGCGCGTTCTCAGAGTGGGAAGAACCTCGGCAAGCGAGCCCGGGTCGCTTGGCTGCTGATTTGTGCTCCTCGTCGTCGTCGTCATGGGGAGGGTGGCTCGTCAGGCTCGGGCTGCCCTGCTTTCTTGTCACGAATCGTTCCTGCACCGTACTAAGTAGCCCTTAGGGAGACGTCATATCTCGTTCAAGTAGCAAATGCATGTCACAGAGCGCTGGTACATGAACATTCCTTCAACGCCTACTTGGGCGTCACGCTTTCAGATTAAAGACAATGGTTCATGATGCATGTTGGATTGTCAATATTACCTTGGCTACTCCGTCTAGGAAAACTGTCTCGCTTAATCGCCGTTTCTCGTCAGAACGTTCCTCTCATTCCACGTCCCAGGAGCGAGGAAACCTGTAGGCGAATCGGAGTAAACTATCCAGGAGCATCTTTCGCCATTTCGGGGTGGGCGGTGCAGCACTAGTGCCTCCACTAATCAGTCTCCTTTCGTACAAGGCGATATTTCTCCACATGCACGCTGGGTGCCAACGCCAGACTCACACCCTCCCGCGGGTGAAGGACAGATGACTACGTCAGGCGACTCACGAAGCCAGTAGTAGTCTCTCAACCCAGGCGCTGCAATCCTCCCGCACACGATCCGCACAACCGAACAATACACTGATGCTATTCACAATCGCAGCAACTACAGATCTATCAACGACGAAGGCCGACGAGCGGGGCGGATCCCTTAGCATTTGCACTCGCCGGGCTTGCACTGGCAGCTGCAACCGCCCGAGTCAACAATAACGATCGATCGCGCGCACGCCCAAACGGCTTGCAACAGCACTCACGCGGTCCCGCAGGTGCACTTGGTGTTTCCGCAGTTCTCGGAGACGGGGAGGCTGGTGGAGGTCTACAGCAGGCTGCTTCAGCGCCGACTAATACGGGAGAGAGCGGGGCGGGGGACGCACGGTGTACATGGTGGTTAATCGATGAGATGTGGTGGATTCGAGGGAGGCGGTGTCACGCAGTTTTATACCCTCTCCTGTGCGTATTTGGCCTTGTCATGGGCCTGCACTATCGGCCGAGAAGAATTGAACTCTCGGGCGCCGGTGTCTGCACATGCAGCTCACGAGGGGCGAGCGCAGGGAATCGCCTCTGCACAGCGGTTCTCTGGATGGAACCAACATGCTCAGTTCATAAACCCCCACGAATCTGCGATCTGCGGATTATTTCATACTTATGCACCTCGCGGGATATGCATCTCCTAATTTGGGGCAAAACCGCGCCAAAAGGCGGGTCGTTGGGTTGGCTCCGGTCGGCATTATCGGATCAGCCGCGGTCGAAGACACGATCACGCGCTGCATCCGCGTCGCTCACGTGGCCAGCACACGCGCACGCGCGCGCGCCGGCTCGGTGAGCGGCGTCCGCTGAATTTCCACCGGGTTTTCCATCGACGGCCCGCGTGCGCAGCCGAGCAGTGCGGCGATCTGGAAATCAATACCAGCTCGCCGCGGACCCGCATCAGCTGCGCCCACCTACAAGGCGCCAATCAGGGCTTCCGCCAGGGATATGCGCTCGGGGCCCGGTTTCATTCATTATCTGGGACATCCGGATCCAGCGCTGGGGAGTGGGCTCTGAGTTGCTTGTCCGGGGGCGGCGGATATCGAGATTCAACCGGTCGTGAGCTGGTATCAGGCGCCAGTCGTGCTTTTTCTGTCTCGATCGCACGGACGAGCAACGGGCAATGCGATCCCCTTTGAGGGGCCAGGCGACGCTCAAGGGAACAAATCGATTTATCCGCACGCTTCTTCGCACTCGAAGAGAGGCTGGCGGCCGGATTCACAGCGTGCTGTAGAAGGGGTATCGATGATATTAGGTGATCTGTTTGCTTTTCGAATCGATCGCGCTTAGGCGTGCGTACACGAGCGGTCCCGAGGTAAAACAGTTAACCCACTCGGTCTCGCGACCTCAAACTCTCACGCTCCCAGATATCAGCCAGGATAAGCACGTTCGTAGCAGATTTGAGCGCTGGTGCGCGGTGCACGCCAAATGCCCAGAAAAAGACAGATTCAGTTCAGATTCCATCTGAAAACGCGAGAAATTGTGGGGAAATAGTCTGTGATTGCGGTGATCCGAGTCTGACATGGTGCAGATCATAGGCTACTCGAGGATTGCTGATGATCATGAGACACCTCAACTCGCTTCAGTTTTGTGATCATTGCAGACGCCGCTACCTGTAGCCAAGGTCTAGTCCTCCGATCTTCCAACGGCAGATCGTTACGGTAGCTGCTGTGCTGGTTGACGGCGGAGGATCCAGAATCGAGCTCGGCTAAACCACCACTGCTATATCTCAAATCTACATTGCTTTGAGAGTGCATAGAGCCCCCAGTCCTTTCGATCCATCGTACCTCTGCCTTGAGCACTGTGTCTTCACTCCCAAGCACCATTCACTGGAATGGATTATATCTCAGTCAGCGGGGGCCTGACTAGAACATCCCACGCACGACATCCTCGCGATCCACGACGGTAAAATTCATGTGCTTATGGCAGGCGCATGAGCTCAGCTTTTGTGTGGGTCCCGCTTACTCATTCGCAGCACAGAGGCCCGCCACGCGGTCTGCAGGTGCCCGATCAGACGTGTCCCCGAAGAGCCCACGAGCAGCTGTCTTCGAGCGCAGCGCGATTTGATAAAGAGAAGCTGATTGTGTCTTGGGTTGCAACGGGCATCGCTGCATTCTTACCATCACCGCTGCAGGCCAGATGATAGATAGATATGCTGCTGCATTCCAGCCTTCGTTCTCGAAGCTCCGGAGGTGTTGTGTCCGGTGGGTGGGATGCTGTTTCGCGTAGAATCCCCGCGAGTGACCGTAACGAGGCCGCAGCAGGGCCAAATATTTTAGCAGACCAAGTACACGTAAGTAAGTAGAGTAGGTCCGTGTACGGTGCGCGTCGTGAACATGTTTTAAGAAGAATGACAAGTAAGTACAGTACGTAGGTGTGAAGGATCCGAGAGTGTACAGAATTATATACAGTGATATGCCAGAAACTGTTCTTATGGAAGCGTATCAAGATATCGAGACTATTGGTTGGCCATGACCCAGGGGCTCTGGACGTAAGCGGCGAAGTACTCCACCGGAGCTTGGGGCTGAGGCTGATGGAGAACTGGCGTTTCAAGAGGGCCAGCAGCTAGAGAGTATCCCTCAGGCGACGCGCCGGCTGGGACCCCACTGTAGTGGTCCATGTACTGCCCCTCGTAGTAGCCAAAGTGGGAGGGGTAGGTCACAAAGTTGCCGTCGCAAGAGTACAGGGATTGCTGAGATTCGACCGAAGACCGTGACGGGAAGTCCGAGACATGCTGCTGGAGGAGATCCCGCGAGACGTCCATAGCCGGCTGGCAGTGGATCTCGTGGGGTGCCTCGTAGCTGGGGTAGTCGGCGGGGAACGGCACGGACGGGCTCTGGGACGAGCTGCACTCAGAGTCATAGCCCTCCTCGTCCATCTCGGCTGCATTGTAGCCATATGCATAAGCAGCGAGGTGCGACGCGTCATAGGGCGAGCTGGAAGTGCAGGTGACGCCGAGATGGTCCATCGAGCGGCTCTGCAGCAGCGTCCGCCCGTTCCTTGCACTCCTGCTGACGGGGGACGAGAACTCAGATCCCATTGACAACGGATGATAGGGGGGAGACGAGGATTGGACGACCAGCGCGGAGTGAGCCGCCAATGCGGACCCCGTTTCATCCATGGCGATATCGAGCGCAGGCAGAGATCGATGCCTGGTCAGCGACATCGGCACCTTGACAGAATACGGCCCCGCCCCAAATCGTCGCTGCAGATCGCGGTGCTTCGCCCGCACGATCCGCTGCTCCTCCAGCTCCTTGCTGTAGTCCTCGATCCGCGGCGCCGGGTAGCTGTCCACCAGCGGTGCGGGCATCTCGTCAGGCTCGATGTACCCGCCGCCGCCGGGCACGGCGATGCCGACGTCGATGTACGAGTTGCGCCGGCTGCCGCCACCGCTGCTGCTGCTGCTGCTGTTGGTGTCCGCGGGCCCGTCCTCGAAGCAGGGCGACAGGCCGCCGTCGGAGCGCGCGCGCCCGAGGTAGTAGTGCCGGGAGTCCTCGAGGGGCGGCGGTGTAGGCAGGGGCGACTGGCCGCGGGAGGAGGACGAAGAGGACTGGTACGAGGACGACGGGTACGAGCACGAGGCGGAAGACGGGACGAAGGAGGGCATGGGCGGAGGCGACGCTGCTGGGGTTCGTCGATGAGCGGGGGCGGCTGCGATCGAATCACCATACGCCCCGACTTGCGGCGGGTGGTGCCAGAGAGATGGATGCGATAGCTGCAGGACGAGGACAATGCATAAGCTAGAGCTAATGGGGACCCCTGAACGGCTCGGGTGACTCACTGTTGCTGCAGGTTATCTTGCCTCGAACACCGTGTCGTGCACCCAGGGAAGGGGCACAGATGGTTCTTTTCCCCCGTGTGGATCTTTACATGCCGTGTGAGATGCCCGGTGGTGCTGAACGCGCGCTGGCAGAGAGGACAGAGATGGTTCTTCATGGGCGGGAATGAGTGAGGCACGCGTCTTGATGAGGACGAGGCTGCCGACATATACGCGCAGTGCGAGGAGGGGAGGGTGCCTAGAACGTTCGGCAGCAGCGGGAAGCGAGTCTTGGCGTCAGTCAGCTGCGTTGGTGTCGCAGAGAAGAACGGGGAGAGAGGTGGGTCCCCGTCTGAGATTGGCCATAGAAATATGCATCGCCGTGATGTTGTTCGAGACAACAAACAGGCCAAAAAGAGGCGTGTCTCCGTCGATCGATCTTCGATGCCCAGATCTAAATTGGGACTGTGTGTTGCTGCTTGACGTCCCAAGCTCGGCAATCAGTTCCTTCGCCCGATTTGTGTGCGGTCTGGACCGCAGGTCATCAGAATTTCCGCATTCGGTCTTTTCTTCTCACTAATCCCGCCACCAGCTGCTGTGCTTCTCCTGCCTCGCGACGTGAATTCGACCGACAACCGTGGAGCGAATGGGATTGCTTGCGTCTGTGTCGTGCCGCCCTCCATGCACTGTGTCGAGCACCAGGGACCCACCAGCGGCACTGTCGTTGGGAGGTAGTACCTGGCACCACGCCACATCTTTACAGGCTGCCCAGTCAGTCACTCGGCAGAATGGTGCATATCACCATGGCCTGGCTTACGGTAGTCGAGATGAGCTCACGTGTTTCTGGCCGGAGCATGGCAATGGGCACCAGCCTCGATGTGGATAGAAGCCCAATGCCGGAACCAGCGACATCCATTCGTCGGGCGCGCAGTCAGGCAGTGGCAGAAATGGAAACAAATTCGACTAGCTCGTCATCTGTGCGGATAAATGGGGACAAACATACTAGCGAACTGGCGTTTAGTGCGACTCTGCACGTCTTGGAACGACCCCATGGCCGCTCACAACGGACAGCAGCGAATAAGTAGTACATTCTTCGTTCTCTCTCATTATCCAATGAAGGCAAGACACTCACCGCTATTCCAGCGAGTGTGATCTACCGCTTACCAAAGGGGATATCCAGTGACTGGCGCAAATCATAGACGACAATGGAGGACAGACATTCTTCCCTCCAGCCTGTCTGTCAGTGTCACGCTGGTATGTAGAGTACCCACCTCGCGTCTCGACCTTGGGCACAACTTGTCCCCACCCCGGAATTTAACCCCCTGCAACTCGAGCTCAGGGTGAAACGTACGACAATGTCATCGTTTGGATTTCTGCTGCTATGCACGTCGTATGAATCGCCCACCAACAAAACCGATTACCATGCCAGGTAACAAACCCAGCTCCACCCGGCTGCAATTTCTTACCCCATCTCCCGCGTTGTTCTGTGCCCAATGAGTCGGCTCCCGAACATTCTGACGACACGTCCATTTCGTTGGTCACAGCACGCTTCTTCTGGTCCCAGCCGTCTGCACGACCGTGCTGGCTACTAGTGTCAAGTGCATAGCGCGTCACGGGACTTCCTCTGGAGGACTAGTCAGTCTTACGGGTCCTGTGCGGGATTCTCCCCGTCGCTGCGAAGAGTGTCGAAACCCGCGTTCGAATGAACTCCTCGACGCTGACGTGCTTCTAGCTTGAGACAACCTCTCGGTCGATCATTCTCGACATGTTTTAGGAGCCTGGCCGTATTTATACATATATGGAAACTGACGCAAATCCTTGCTTGACCATAATCTGTCATGCAAGCACAGTAATTAGACCAGTCTCCGCGCTGACGCCTGGAGGCCCGTCGCGCACGTTCATGAAAGGTCCCCGATCACGTATGTTTCTCGGCATTTCCTGTTGCTGGCGTCATGAGTGATCGTCATTAAAATCCAGATTGCAATTTGGAAGGAAAAGAACAATGCCTCGTCGACGAGAGGCAGCTGAGGGCAGCGCCGAAAATTCTGCGACCGTCTGTCCGTTGCTTCAGCGATATGTTCATCCCAGCGCACTCGAGATCCAAATCTCCCCGTTTATCTCATGACTATGACTATCAAGTTCCATTTCATATCACTTATTATACGTGCAGTCATTCTGCATCATCGTCAAGTGCTACATGCAAAGCCGTCCTCGCTGGCAGCTTCCGTGTGCCCTGTGCCGCCTCGGCCGAGCGAAGGCGTTCCCAGACGACTCTTTGGTCGTTAATGAATGGGCTGCTCCACAACCAGAGTACAGGCGCCCGCGTTTACGGCGTACTCTCCGTCATCAGCGTCACCGAAGAAAAACACATCACGTCAGTTGGTGGCGGGTGAGTGCTCCTTATCGCACCGCCACGAGTACTTCACCGCTCCATGAAGAGCGGGCTGAGGTAAGCGAGCGCTATCTAATCTGATTCCGAGACATATCCACAGCGACTAAACGGTAAGCGTGACAGAAATTTCCATCAATGCCACGTACGGCATGATAGCCTCGAGTTCCGATGGACATCTGCAAGAATATTAATTTGTGCGTCTGCACATGTAACGCAACGTGCACTACATACAGCCCACGAGTATGCGGGGAGAAGGAGTCGCAGGGTCGCGCCAGCGGGGCATTAGAGCGGCTGCCTGGAGTATCTGATCCCGAAGCTGTCGTGTCATTTGTCAACAGTAACAATTCTTCTCATTCCATGCATCTGCACGCTACTTCACACACTAATCGCATCACCGGACTCTGGCTCTGGTGCCGCATCCAGCAACCCGTCACGGGGATTGTCGATCGACAACTCGAACAAGCGATAGGCCTTCTAGTGAGACAATCTCCTGGTTGATCATGTCAAATCTGCCTTCGGGACCCGGCGCCAGTTCTCCGTGCCCAGAACCTGTTGGACGCCCATCCACGCTAGTAACAGAGCTCGCGGCGTGGAATCTCCGTTCAAAGAGGGGACTATTCGCCCAGTCCAAGCCTCGAGCTTCTCCATCGTCGCATCTTTTTGTTGGCCTCCTAAAGCCAGTGTTGAGTTCCCAGCCAAAAATCGATAGAACATTCATTTGGCGCTAGTCTCCGCGGACGGTTCACATCGAAGAAGCTGCGATCCAATGGCGCGCGTCGTCGGAGTGAGGACTCTCGGTTCCTTGAAGTAGGGACATCTGGCCAGCGTCAGACGAATCTCGCTGCCCCATTCGAGTTGCATTGCCTAATGCATGTTTTCGGCCGATGAAACGAGGACTAGAGCGATTCCGAATCTATGGCAGCTTCCCTGTGCCTTTCGCGGGCTCGTGTTGTCCCGAAGATGCTTTCCCAGACTTTCAGGAGAAGAGGTTCTAGAACCTCCAAAAATAGGCACTGGCGCGGTTACGACAGACTGTGCCTCGTCAGTCTTACCACACGAAACAATGTGTTGACCAGGCATGTCAGGCTGTGGCGGTTCAGGATCCTTTATCGCACTGCCACGCCAGGAAGATCTTCCGATTATCAGCGGGCTGAGGTAAGCATCATCTAATCTGGGGCGTGGACATCATCGTCCTCTGGGACTCGTGATCATAATGGGTGCTAGAAACATGCGGCCTCAACTGGGAATAAGCACCCAGCCCACCAATATGGGCATATCTTAACGCGCGCAGAGGCCGACGCTCCTAAAGCCACGTCGAGAAATACGGACCAGCGCAGCCTAACTAGCGCATGTTTCCCCGTCCGAGTCGCAGGGTCTAACTGCAGAGCGTGATTACGTGTGCACACACTCTCCAACCCCACCTGCTGCCCACATTCTCTCGTCGAGAGTGCATGAGACCTACTACCAGCGACGTCGCAGCACTTGCACCGGGCCGGGTCACGCGGACAAGCACTAGCAGAAGGGTCCGCCGCATCCGGCGCAGCAGACAGATCGAGCTTGGCGTGCCACTCGGCTGACATCCAGACAGTCGTTTTTCCGACCGCCTCGCAGGCCGTGCCCTCCTGTGGATGACCAGCGAGTACTCCAAACGCCATCTCTTGCTGCACTGCGTGCTGACACCCCGCGCTACCGTGACCAGATCGACCGTTCAGCGACCGAATCTGGGCCCCCTTACGCACATGGAATCGACGCACTCCGCGATCTCCTGCACCCGGTCTTCTCTCCTGCTCTGCCGCCCCGCAAAGAAACTGCTCACGACCATTGCCATCTCATTTGCGATCACGTCGACGCTGCTATGCTGCCTGCTAGTGTACTTGCAGAATCGAAGCGTCCGCACTGGGCCGTCGGGCAGCATCGACAACGCACCGCTGCTGGACCGCCTCGAGAGAGTCCTGCTGTCGGACATCTTCCTCGTCACAGCCGCGATCTCGATCGTGGTCTTCGCCGTCTCGGAACTCTGGGAAACATCCCGCAGGCGAGTGCGTTTAGGGCGCACCGAGGAGGAAGCGTCCGGCGGGAGAACCTGGGAAACACACTCACCGGAACGGCGCAAATGCAACGGCCAGGAACTTAGCTAGGAAACTCGAAACCAGCGCAATCTATGCACGTTTGTAAGATCAGTTGAAGTGAGTTGTGTCACGCGATAATTCATTGGACTGTCGAATTTAGATCATGTAGATCACAGGCTGTGTGCGAGGCTCACTCTGACTGCGTTTCGTTCCTCGTTGCTCTCGAGTCAGGGAGAGGAGACGTGGGCTGAAACGTGAACGATAAAAGATCGCGCAGATCGCTGTGTCACGGAAGCTGAATGAAACCGAAGAGCCGGAGTCATTCTCGAATCAACCGTCCTTCGCTCCCGCTCCCGCGCTCGTCAAGGACGTGTCGGGAGCCGGGTTCTTCACGTGGCAGCGGGTGCACTCGTGCCGCCGCTGATTTGTTCTCGCTGACTGACTGTACGTTACCCACACGCCTCGTTCAACACGAAGTTGTTGCCGTGTTGACAGCTAGGGGAGGGTTGCCCAAGTGTCTGAGCTTTTGCTGGATAGAGTGGCCGCCGCATGGCTCGACACTGTCTGCTGTAATGCCGGCACTGACGAGCAATATGTCTATTTAGTCTGTCTGTCCATGCTGCCTGCTCGTGTTCCATTTTTATCTTTGGCTGTCTGTAAGCTGCTCTATCTTACGTTGCCCCGACTATCTTCTTATCAGGAAAATCATGTCGAGGAGCCCTCCCCTCAGTGCATCGACACCCCAATCAAACAATCTATCGAGCTGTAAATGAGAGACTAACGAGTAGACGCTGAGGGGCAGGTACATATCCGAACACAGCGAAAACAATATCGGAGAAGAGCAGAAAATTTGGTGCTTTCGTCACGACATAAGCAGTGATAATGGATCTGTTCCTGTCTGGCGCCGACTTGGGGCGTGCGAGGATGTAGGGCTATATCTGGCGCCAGGTCTGCCTGCCCGCCTGCGCTCTTGGCAGGAAAGTGCCGAAATATCGGGCTCTGTTTTTCTTCCATAATACACACCACACATTACACGGCGGCCGGTTTCCTCATGGATGCAATTTGTTGCAGATTTGAGCTCGAGATCCGAAATTTGAAACTTGGATGCAGCCTTGCTCGGGAGACTGACGGCACTCGAGAGCAATCAGTGCTGGCCCTGTTTCTCCTGCCACTCGTAACTACTCAGTGTCTCGGGCTCCATCATCTGTATAGCAGATCTCTCTAGTACATGGCCAGTAGTAAGTACATTTCGTTTCTTCCGGTGGTGATCTCCGGTCTCTAAGCTGCATCGTGTCAACAAAGCTGGCGATAGAGAGAATCAGACGACATACTCGCGGTTTTCTCAAGGCATTCAGTTGCGAACGAGTAGCGAGCGCCCGGTCATGTCTGTGAAAGATTAGTGAGCATGATCCCAAAAACGCAAACGGACAGCAGGACACACCCTCCGGCTGGGGAAGGCCCTGCAATACTATCAGTCGCCGACCACAGAGAGCACGGGGGGCAACGTACCATAAGATCGAGGATCGTCGGTGCCACATCACACAGTGCACCCGGCTCCTCGTCGGAGCCCTCTTCATCGCCCTGGAGCGCGTACTTGGTCTTCCGCTCGGCAGGCGCAGCGAGGATGAATGGGACGGGGTTGCACGTGTGTGCGGTGTGCGGTGCGCCGGTCTCAAGGTTCTTCATCTGCTCGGCGTTGCCGTGATCGGCGGTGACGAGGAGGGTGTAGCCGGCGCGCTGACAGGCAGCGAAGACGGTGCCCACCGCAGCATCCGTGGCCGTGATCGCCTTCACGGCAGCATCGTAGACACCCGTGTGTCCCACCTGGGGGCGTGTCATGAGCGCATAGTGCTGCACGCAGCGGCTGTCGCGCTTACCATGTCCGGCGGCGCAAAGTTGCACATGACAAAGTCGTGTACGTTGGACTCGACGACCTCGGCGACCTTGTCCGCGACATCCTGCACGCTCATCTCCGGCTTCAAGTCGTACGTCGCGACCTTGGGTGACGCAACCATATGACGTTCCTCGTTCTCGTACTGCGCCTCGACACCACCATTAAAGAAGAAGGTGACGTGTGCGTACTTCTCGGTCTCTAGAGAACGCCCGTGAGTGGGGCCCTGGCATGCTGCGAGCGAGCCTTACCGGCGATGTGCGCCTGCTTCGTGCCCTGCTTTCCAAGCCACTCGGCAAGGACGTTCGTCATAGCTTGGGGAGGGAAAGCGACGGGGAAGGGGAACTCCGAGTTGTACCGTGACATGGTGGTGATGTGCAGGTCCTTGGGGATCGTCACCTCCATCGGCTTGTCCGGCAGCCCGAAGACCGACGCGATTTCACGCATGCGATCTGACCGGTAGTTGAAGAAGAAAATCGTATCGCCGTCTGCGCGTAGCGGTCAGGCTACAAAGCGAGATACGGGTTGGCACAACTGACCCTTGATACGACCCGCCTCGCCGTTCACAATGATGGGCTTCATGAACTCGTCAGTCACGTCCTTCTCATAGTTGGACTTGATGGCCTTGACGAGGTCTGTACCCTCCTCGCCGACACCTCCAACGAGACCATCGACAGCAATCTTGACACGCTCCCAGCGCTTGTCGCGGTCCATCGCGTAGTATCGTCCCACATATGTCGCGATCTCGCCGTACTCAAGCTTCTTCGTAACTTCCGCCAGGGCTTCGACGTATCCAGGTGCAGATCGCGGGGCGGTGTCACGTCCGTCACCGATGCAGTGGATGTAGGTCGAAGGCACACCCTGCTCCTTCGCGGTTTCGAGCAGTGCGTACAGATGCGAGTTGTGCGAGTGCACACCACCGTCAGAGAGCTGGAGACACAGTCAATAAGCATATGTACATTGTCAAAACACGTCTCCCGCACCAGCCCGATCAGGTGCAGCCGCCCATTCCCGTCCTTGGCGTGCTTGAAGCTCTCGAGGATCGTCGCGTTCTTGTGGAACTGCCTCTTCTTGATCGACACGTCGATCTTCACGATGTCCTGGTACACGATGCGTCCAGCGCCAATATTCAGGTGTCTGCGGAGCGAGCACGTAAGCCTCCTTCCCTCATCGGCGGGGCCCGGGACCACACGCACCCGACTTCGGAGTTGCCCATGAGCCCATCATTGAGCCCGACGGCCGTCCCGTGCGCCGCGAGCAGACGCAGGCTGTTCTCCTTCCCGATCGTGTCCATGTTCGTCGTGGTGCCCGCCTCGATGGCGTTGCCGTCGAGCCCGGGACAGTAGCGACACCCCAGCCATCGTGCACAATCAGACAGACTTTCTCCTTGACATCGGGCATCTCGTTTGGTTGTATAAGGTTCAGCTGGCGGGTGGGGTAGTGGTGCGCAAGGAGACGGGAGGGCAAGCGAAAAAGATGTGTGTGATCGAGGCGATAACGAGATATGGCTGTGCTGATGCGCACACAGATGCACACAAACGTTTGTGCGGTTCGACCGATGTTAAGCCGTCTTCTGGACTTCCTCAGCGTGATGCATGTGCGCAATCTGTGGTTGCTGGCTTGGGTGCTGATAAGGATGCGTTTGTAGTGTATTCGACTGATTCGTTTCTTCTTACAGTGACACAGGCAATATCAATGCCTGAATCTTAACCCGTGCTTCTTCCAGTAACTTACCGTATGGAACAACGCATCGAGACCAGCCTGGATATCATATCTACGAGGGAATACGACGACACGGCCCTCCTCATCTCTTGTCAATCTGGTCGTCACGTCCGACGAGAAGCATTCGCTCTGCTTGAAAGCACCGCCCCAGAGATTCCCCCATTCGGTATGGCCTTGGAATGCATCGTCGAAGCTCGGATGCTCGATGATCTAGTGGCAGTCAGATTTTTTCTGCTGAAATATAAATTACGTGCTGCCTTCAAGTCGTCGAGCGTCTTTGTCATCCGTCAGGCTGTTACCAGCTAATGGCGGAACAAAGCACTCACTTCGCCCTGGATTTCCACGATCAATAGATGTTCGCGGGACGGGAAGCCAATTTCTCCAAGGCGGGCATCGAGATCATCATTCGGGGACCACTAAATACCGACATCACCCCCATGGCCGAAAAACCCCGCATTGACGCTACTCACTACGCACTGCTTGCGCAGATACTCCTCCTGCTGGGGCATGGTGACCCATTCTTCGAACCGAGGGCCCAGCGCGTCGTGGTGTTCTTGCGGGTGCAAATCCTGTGGGACCTTCATCAGCGCCATCGCCGTCGAATGCGGTTTCCCGTCTTCGGACGCGGGGCGGTGGAGGCGAATGGCGACGTCGGCCGAAAACGCCGATCCGTTCGATTTGAATCCGAACTGCGTCTCTGCCTGTGAAAATATCGGGTCCAGGCTCGAATGGGTGAGAACCTGGGCGATGAGGGCGCCTCGTGAGTGTCGTACGGGGCGGCATTTATAGGAAAACGACGGGCCTGGACGTACTCATCCACAGACCTGCATTCGACTAGCAGAATGGCGATGGGGAGCGGGGGTCCAACCGAGGTTCTCGAAGTGTTCAATGAGATCAGGGGTCTGCACAACCTTGGGAGAGGTAATCTACAATTTCGGGATTCCACCAAGCGAATCACCTACGAGTTCGACTTTGTTCCAACGCTGTTGAACGAACGGGTCCACCACCAGGGCATCAACTAGTTGCTCCATGCCCGAGTTGAGGACATCTTTGGTCACAGGTCCCCGAGCACGATGGATAGATACAATGCCAACGGTAGGATCCATAGGAGATATTCCAGCAGAGTTTGAGGCTGCGGTAGTATATATACGTTCCTCAGCCTGATGTGATAGGCTGAAACCAGCTGAGCGGCTTGAAACTGAGCTAGAGGTAAGCGTGCTCGCTACATCTTCAGTTCAGTCCAAGATAGTATCGACTTATCTTGCGAGATGACGCATGCACAAGGAATGCATTTGAGCTAATCGGAACCGTCTGGCATCAGCATCGCCAGCGTGAATGTGAATGAAACAGTTCCGCTTCTTGCATTACGAAACAGTGCCTTTAGCAACTCACAGTCTTCGTAATGCGAGAGCGCAGATCGCCTGTGATAATAACAGAAGTCAAGGGTGAACATATACAGTGTATTTGACCCAATCGAATCTTTCAACGATGCGGCACAGGCAATGCCAAGATGAATGACCTGAATCTCAAACCAAGCTTATCTCAAAAACGTACGAATGTACATGCACCGGCCCGGTATCTACGCAGGGAATACGACGACCCGGCCCTCCTTGTCCCGGGTCACCTGGTCGTTACGTTGGACGAAAAGCAGTCGCTCTTCTTGAAAGCACCGCCCCAGAGTTTGCCCCACTCCGTATGACCTTGGAAGAGATCGTCGAAAGTCGGATGCTCGATGATCTACATTGAAAGTCAGATCTTTCTGTGATAGATAAAACCGAGCAAAGCGTACGCACCGCCTTCAGGTCGTCGAGGGTCTTCATCCATCAGCGCGTGCTTCAGACAAGCGGAGCGGAACACTCACTTCGCCTTGAATCTCCGAGACGAGGAGATGCTCGCGGGCCGGGAACCCAATCTCGCCCAGGCGTCCATCGAGATCGTCGTTCGGGGCCCACTAAGCACTAGTCTGACCAACCGCCACCGCAAGCCGATCCGAGAGACGCACCAGGACGTGCTTGCGCAAATACTTGTCCTGCTGCGGCATGTTCACCCACTCATCGAACCGGGGGCCCAACGCGTCGTGGTGTTCCTGCGGATGCAAGTCCCGCGGGACTTTCATCAGCGCCATCGCCGTCGAATGCGGCTTCCCGTCGTCGGGCGCGGGGCGATGGAGGCGGATGGCCACGTCGGCCGAGAACGCGGACCCGTTCGATTTGAACCCGAATTGCGTCTCCGCTTGAGAGAAGACAGAATCCAGGTCTGGGTGGGTGATGACCTAAGTGGGGAGGAGTGCGTCTCGTGAGCTTCGTGCAGTGGGACTTGTGTTCGTCAAACGACGAGCCTGGACGTAGTCATCTACGGATGAGCATTCAACGAGCATGACGGCGGTGGGAAACGGGTGGTCCAAGCCCACGTTCTTGAAGTGCTCGATGAGATCGGGCGTCTGCAAGACCTGGCAAGAGAGAGTATATCACTCGATTCTGCCACGGAGAGAGCCGCTTACGAGCTCGACTTTGTTCCAGCGCTGCTGGACGAAGGGGTGGACCACCAGCGCGTCCACCAGCCGCTTCATTCCCATGTCAAGAGCGTCTTTAGTCACATTTCCGCGAGCGCGGTGGATAGAGACTATTCCAATGTCAGTAGTAGCCATGAGTGAAGTAGTGGGATTGAATCTGAGGGCTGCGGTAGTTTATATAGATATTCAGGAATCGACATATGACAAGTCGATGACGACAAGCAAGTGAGAGATAACTGTCTGCTTCAAACAGGCTCAGCAGTTTGGACCTAATCGCTCCAACTCCACTTCGGCCCATGACAGCTGCGACTCAGCCTGCGGGAATAAACTGGTACGTGGGGAGGCATGCGGACCAATCGGATACCCCGGCCTCAGCGATATTAGCGTGAAAGAGATGGCTCTCGCATTATGAGACGGCAGCTCTGAGGAGCTCTGTGTCTGTATTGAGCAACAAGGAGCCCATGATCTCGGCGATGCGCGAGTGTAGACTACCTGCGGTAAGCAGAAACAAAGCAGTTCAGTTTAAGGTAGGGAAGTGTCAGAAAGCGACGGAAAAACGCACGAGCGCGCGCCACGGCTTCGCGGTATTCCTCGTGGCCACTTCCATGTCTTTGTTCAGAGTCTCCAGTCGTTCAGCCTACAATGATAAATCGTGATTAGCAGGAGGTTGAGCAGGTAGAGACGCATTGTTCCTGAGCTTCTTCGGACTCTGGTGCGGGTAACGAGTTGATAAGATATTCGATCTGCTTCGCTTTCATGACGAGATCCGCAACCAGCTCCCGCTTGTTCGCTATCGCCGCACGCGTCAAGATCCGTCCGCCCGCACGGGAGCCACAGAGCAGAGAATGGAGCTTACCATCCAATACATCCGGCGGATCGAACTTGCCCTCCTTCCTCTGCTTGGTGACAGGCACCTCCGCGCTGACCTGCACGAAGTCGACGCGCGTCGTGAGATACGCGATGCTGCGGGACATAATCATGAGCAGATTCTGGATTTCGTCCTGGAGTTGGGTGATGCGATCCATGTGAGAAAGCTCCTGCAGCATGCTCGAGCTGCGGAAGGACTGTCTATACTCAGACGCAAGGCGGAGGAAGAGAGGTGGTGTGATGACTGATGAATCAGCCTGTCACGTTGATCCGGCATTCACCCTAATCTCGGCGAACAGCTTGATCCGATCAGTAAGCAGATGAAATTGGAACTTGGGAGAACCTATCGTAAGCCTCCGGTGATTCAGGCTCAGCCCAATCGCCACGTCCAAAAGAGGCAGGCTCTCTCTTTCAAAGTAAAACCCCAGAAATTTCTCACTTAGTATAGCCTTGTGAAAGATCGTCGAAGGTAGGATGCTCCGTTCTCAAAAGCCTTTCAGAGCGGAAAAGGTGGATAAGCACGAGT